TATCGAGTGGTATCAATCATTTGAAAATGAAATAAAGTCTGATTTAAAGCTAGTGCACTGGATTAATCAGCTACTCCCCAATTGCATTCATTGACCCTGTTCATTCAGGGACTGTAATTAAGAAAAACAGCAGTGACTTTAAATTTGGCACCTGAATCACAAGGTTAAAGCAGTAAATTTCTAAGTCTGATTGGTGCCAGGTTAGGAGGAGGTATCTCTTTTCTCACTGATGAACAGGAGTGCTCAGCTCCTGGCAGAGAAGCAATGAGTGAGGGAGAAAAAGGCAGGCAGGGGTTTATGGAGGATTTTCAGAGTTATTAAGACACTGAAGACGGCTAACCCTGTCCTTGCAGACTTACAGGTACAAAATATTTGAAATAAACAATGCTTCAGCTTACAGGTTTTTCATACTTACCTTACTGTACAAGAAGAAAATTCTACTAGTTTCTAGTTAAGCAACACAGAAGTTGCCAAGGTTTAAAATTAAAATAAGAAGTCTCACTTTTTTGGAAAACTGCTTTTTGCAGTCAAAAGTTAGAATTTGGGCCCTAATTCTGTCAAAATAACCCATGTTCGGACACTGCTGCCTATCACTGTTGTTGTGAAATAGATATAAACTGGAAGTCAAGGGATCTCTTGCTACAATAAAGATACATTGGTTTGGATGATTCTGTGTAAGATCTTTGGGCAAATAATGCTCTTTCAAATAGAATTTGGGCCCTAATTCTGTCAAAATAACCCATGTTCGGACACTGCTTCCTATCACTGTTGTTGTGAAATAGATATAAACTGGAAGTCAAGGGATCTCTTGCTACAATAAAGATACATTGGTTTGGATGATTCTGTAAGATCTTTGGGCAAATAATGCTATTTCAAATAAAAATGTAGAATCTTATTTTCAGAAATGAGTAGCATGTACAACTCAGCTGGTGTTGCAGATCCTCTGGTTTATTTTATTAAAAAGGTCAAAAAGGTCCATTAGAGTGTCTAGGCTGTTCTTGTGCAACTATGGACCATTAAATGTAATCCCCATCACTCAGATATGAAGCTCAAAAATTATAATTGCAATAAACCATTTCAGTCCTTAGGCTTCTAAATTGTATGCCACAGGCAGGGAAAAGGAGTGACCCAGCTGCCATCTATGTTCAAAACTGTCTTATTAATGCTGGCTGAAGGCTTTCTGAGATCAAATGTCTAGGTTGGTAACTAACAGACTAATAACTATAAATTTCATATAAATTGTTACTCTCTTCTCCATATGCCACATATTTATTTTATGCATGAGTTATATTCTATACGCTATTTGAGGTGAGGTTTACGTATAATGCTTACACAGCTCCAGATAGATACTAAATTTCGAAGTGTATGTGAAGAAATAACTTGGTGGTCTAACTAGTGTTAGGCAATATGTAAATTGTAGCTTTAATATTTCTACCATGTTTTGAGAGGGATGTGACATGTCAAGTGTACCAGGTATATGAATGATGGGTTTAAAAACATGCCTTCTGAAAGAATATAAACCAGCTGGCAAATAAAAATTGCCTGTCGGTTTGGGCCATGCACTGTCACGCAGGGAGCAATTCGCATTACTCGTGTTCCCAGTGCTGCGCTTAGTCCATAGGTTGATGCTTCATTTTCCAATCTCTATTTCTGCAACTTAGGCAGAAGACAGAAAATGAAATACTTTAGCATATTGAATTAAGAACAAGAAACTTTCTAGCAGATTTCCATGTGCTTTCCTGGGATAATATTCCATTCACTGTTAGTATTTACTGTGTATTTCTTTTCTCTGCAATATAATTCTTGCTCTTGTCTATTCATGTGCATGCCAGCTAGAAATTAAAATAAAAAGACTGCACTCTAAATGGATTCCTGAATGCTATTATAAAGCATGGGAGGTTTAACAAACAAGCTCGATAAAAGTAGTTCCCACTTTGCTTCAATAAATAGAAAGGTTGTTTGTGTCCTTGGTTAGGTTGTAGTTGTCCTAGCTTTATTTCTTGCTTACTCTGTTGTACTGTATGTGTGAGTGCAGCTTTTAGCATTTATATTTTTAGTGTTCTTTAAAATCAAAATGCTTAAATCAACATCTTTTCTTCTATTAGAGAGATGCATTTGATACAATCCACAAAAAACGCTTCCAACACGTGCCATTTGTAATTGCTTTACCAATTATGATTTCTCCAGTCTAGCTAATAAATTTCTGCCTAACCGTGCACTTATTCAGAATGTGGGCAAGATGTAGACACCATTCAGATGTGAAGACCTATTACAAGATTGAAATAGATTTCTAATGCATTTATCATTCATCTTTGCAGAGTGTGATTTCAATCAGAAAAAAAAAATGATGAATGGTTTGACAGTTTCCACTCATATACGCTAAAACATAATATGCTGCTTCTAGTTTTCAGCTATTACAGACTTTAACATGCAATGTGACCTTGGTCTGCAAAGCATGTTTGGTTAGCACAAAAACTTAATCATAAGAAGTCATAAGTAGAATCCTTCTTCTTTACTGCCCTTTTTCTGGGACTTGGAAATTTATTGCTTCTGGGACAGGTAGGATATGAACAATGGGCCAAATAGAGTCCAGGGTTATCTCATCTGTGTGAAAACTGCTGCTGAAAATCGATGTGACCTCTGCTACACTGTCATCCCAATTCCCACCCTCTGTGTCCTATTTGTCTTTTGGTAGAAGCTTAGATCTGTGTGCTGTCTCTATGCGTCTCTCTTGGGCCAGATTATCAAAATGAATCATTGCCTGCATACCTCTTATATTTCTATTTATTTTCCTGGTGTTGACTAGGTCTGATGAAATATGATTCTTTTTGCATTTGATCCTCACTGCAGCAAGCAGCACCTAATTTAGCTGTGTCTATCTCTTTAAAGAAGAGTAATACTATTTTGAAACTTCAATCTGCTGTACAGTAACATTACAAACCATAGACCATGCAACCTGTCTTCACAGTCAATAGTAATTTTCCTTTCGGCCAATTTAATGTTATTACTTTCCAAATAGTAGAGATTTCTAGAGATTTTAAAGCAGCTATGGTTTTGTTATGCATACGTCATGTATTACTACTTTCTTCTTCAAATGCCACTTCTGTTTAGTCTTTTGTGACTCCATGGCTTAGGTATTATTTCTGCGTGGCATCATACACAACAACTAATTTTAAAAACTCTGCCACTGATACAAGATATTTAAATATGAGAAATGGTGTATCTGAATCAGCACGAACTCCATGGTCTGAGTATGTTACCAGAGTTTTTTTTTTTTACATGAATCATTTAAATTACATGAACACAGCTCTAAAACGATAGCTATGAAGATGTGCAGAGGTTACTGGCTTTTGTTGTTGTTAGTCCTGAAGAATCATTATGAAGATGTTCCATTTAATGAACTCGCACAGTGAAAACAAAACACTCCCTAAACAGAGATTTCAAAGAATACTTGAAAACTGCTAATGCTCCTGGTGCGTTGTCAGTAGGGGTGTTTTAGAAACACAGCAAAAAGTGCTTGCTGCTCAAGAGATGCTCCTGGAATTCGGAGCATCTAGGTAATAGTACTGCCGTAGAGACACTGTGGTTTAATTCGTTGTTGTCAGATTCTTTCTGAGGTGTGTTTTTTTTTTTAATAAGAGAGGTGGGAGAGGAAGGCCTTTTGAATATGATATGGTCTAATTGTAAATCCTGGATTTAATACGATCAAGACACTTGACAAATGAAACTGTCAGGACTGGCTGTGCAGTTGCCCTTAGAAAACACATGCATCATGAACTTATGGTCAATATAGGAGTTGCAAGATTTACTAGAAAGCAATTGCTGAGAAGATATTCTTCATGATTTCTGCAAGTGCAGGAACATAATATATATAGACTGGTTTTCCCTGGAATGTTACACAGAAATATTTTTTTAACATTTCAGAGTAAAAGAAATGTACAGAGTTTGGCTTTGAAGACTGCTAGCAGATTTTAATTTTGTGGTTTTCAGCAATTAACTTGATGTTTAAAATGAATGGACTCGATGATCTTAGAGGTCTTTTCCAAGCTTAATGATTCTATGATTCTAATACATGAGGAAGAAGTATTCATAGGGATCTGAGAGAAGGAGATACATTTATTATCCTAAAATACGTTTAAATTATCGTATTCAAAAATGCAAGTAAGTTCATTGATGATAGTACTGATTCATCACAAAATTTAAAGGATTTTTGAAAAATAGTTACTGATGTTGTTTCTTTCCGGATACACATTTCTACTGTCTGCGCACAGCTTGATCTATAACAACATGAGATGCATCAATCTAGTTCTGTGCAGTACGTCGCAGGAGCGAGGCCCTGTGCCGGAGCGCCCTCTCCTCCCCGGCCGCTCCTGTCACCCCCCGCCACCAAGCGCACTCAATACCTCCGGTAGAGAGAACTCAGCAGAGCGTTTTTGGCTACTGCCTGTGGCTAGAAAGGCTGACAGTAGCAAGGTACTTGTTAAGAAAACCTGCGCTGACGCTTTACTGACAACGTGGAGTTGGTGCTAGCTAAGCAGGAGGGGATTGACTCAGTGGAGATTGTTTGCTGCTGAGTATAGGAAGGATAATGTTAAAGGAGTAGAGAGATGTGATACATTTCTTGATTAGAGTTTTGTCAAGGTTATAGCAACAAAAAATGCACATCATAGAATGGCAAACGTGATAGAATGAAGAAAGGTCATTCAGGTTTAATGAACTGTGTAATACTGTTATAATTCTGTAGTATAATTTTGTAGAATTTGAGATATAATAGTCTATACTCTATTACAGCTATGTTATAGTCTTCAGTATATTTATTATTGTTCTGTACTATTTTGCAAACTTACCTTAGCAACAATCACAGCTGCCCAAAGACTGAAACAATGTCAGTTTTACTAATGCGCTTTGACTTCCAGGTAAACAGAATGCTAGTTTCTAGAAATGACATTTACCTATATTTCCAATGCTTTCTGATGTTGCTTTTAAACCTATCTTTACAGAAGAGGTCCAAATTGCCATTCCAATAATGAAACCAACCTTAGATAAAGTCCAACTGGCTGGACAGGCCTTGCCTCCTGGATTTCCGGCGCCATTTCTTTTTGCTGATGGTCTTTCATCAGTAGAAACACTATTAACCAACATTCAGGTAAATTATTCTCTATAGGGCCAGGCTATGTCATGATAGATAACATATGTTTCTTTAAAAAGTTTCAGAAACTATTTTGTATCTGCAATTCTAATTTCTTTTATTTAATGTAATGCTTAGGTTTCCACTATCTGGCATTATCGATCGTGAAAGGGTTTCATACATTGTCTATTTGACTTAATAGTTGGCAATAATGGTCATATTAAAATTCACCAGTCTCATTATTCCTCCTTTGCCTCTCCCTGCAGTTGACTGAGGTCAGCAATGATACGGCACTCCGTTTGTAATAAACCACATCAGTAGGATGAATTAGCAAAAGCTATACTGAATGATTCCATGCCACAAAATTGCTCATATATAACATATAGCTACATATGTCCAGTTGCATTCCAGGTCTATAGGTTCCTGCTTTTAATTTTTCTGTTTTCCTAGAGGGTGTAAAAGAAACAAATGGATGAATTTTGTCACTGCTGAAACAAACTGGTATTTTCAGATCTTACATTTGTGTGTGTTTTAGGGCCTACTGAAAGTGGCTGTGGACAATGCGAGGGTCCAGGAAAAGCAGATACAGCAGGAAAAGAAAGAGTTAAAGATGGAGCTTTGTAGAGAGAGAGAACTAAGAGAGAGCTTGGAAAGGCAACTCACAGCTGAGCTGCAAAGCAGAGGTGAGTGAATGAAAAATGGAGTTTAGATATCTATTAAATGTATAACCCTTTGGCATTTCCAGCTGGAGCTATTGAGGACTCGGAGTTAACTGACATTCATACTCCAGTGTAATGCAGCAGTGGACTAGCACTGGTAATGAAAGATTTAAATTTAATAAAACCAGAACGAAGCACACTTTTCTGTAAGCAGACAGAACAGTGACTGAAGGATTATTTCCTGGAGGGCAACTGGCCGCAGAGAGTTTTGGCTGGTTCTGTGGAAGAAAGCTGATTCAGTTTCATGGCTTTCACATGTATTATTACCACTCTGCCTGTGTATTCCCAGCCCGATTTCTTCATTTGACAGCTTTAATTTCTTTTGTTTTCTGCTATTATCCTCCAAGCATTGAGGATCAGTCTTACTGTGAGAAAGATAATATGTCTGTAATTGGGTATTCAGTTGATTTTTTTCCATTACCTTACTACTTATCTGGCCCGCATTTCTGTAGTTTGCGTGCTAGTCAGCTAGTTTTTCTTGTAGATAACTTCAGTGCAACAAAATAGGCAGAACTACGAGAAGTTGTCTGCCCAAGTCCCAGATCTGAAGCAATAACCCTAGATAATTTTTTTCCCATCAGGAGAGTGAGATACAATAGCACGCCCCATATGGGGCCCTCTAAGACAAAACTATGACTGTTTAGAAGCTTTTGATAATAATAGGCAATTAAATTGGTAAATCTGAATTTTTCGCTGTGATATTGCAAAGAAGGCAGTATTCTTTTTAAAATTCAAATCTGCATCTAAAGGAAAGGAATAGTACTTCATGTGCCAAAAGCTACTTCTAGATTACATCCATGAAATCAGAAAGATAAAACTATATAAGACCAAAAATGTAGGTGCCAAGTACTATCTTCCTGTGCGTTTTGAATTGCAATTAGGTGGGTAGAACAGAGCTGTCTGCAGCGCAAAGTCTCAGTAAGAGGCAACAAAGAAGGGCACTTCTAAGTCAAGCTGTGAAGGGTCAGTAAATGCTATTGAAGTTGTTAAATTGGCAGTGGGTGCTCAGAAATGTTGCATCACCCCAGTCTAAGTGTGGATGAGACTGCTGTATTTCTATAAAACAGAACTTATCTCCGTGTAGGCAGACAGCACACTGTGCACCTCCCGAGTCACATTTAGGTCAACAAAAACCTTAAGCCATTCGCAGACTTTGTTGGCTTCTGGCTCGAAGGAGAATTTCACCAATAATCAGTATCCTCAGAATTGTTTGTCTTTCAGGTCATCGCCACATACACATCTTTGTTATTACAGAAACTCAGAGTTAGGCTTTTTCACACAGGTTGCTCAATTTTGCAAAGTTATGTTCTACAGATCACATTTTGACATTCATAATTTATTAAGTCTCTCAGAGATTTCCCATGTAATGGTATCCTTTTCTTTTCCCCTGACTGGAGCATTCACAAATCCAGAAAGATCTGTAAAAGTCAATAAGAATTCAGATGAACAAGTGGTCACATAAAGTTATGCATTTTCACACAGGTTGCTCAATTTTGCAAAGTTATGTTCTACAGATCACATTTTGACATTCATAATTTATTAAGTCTCTCAGAGATTTCCCATGTAATGGTATCCTTTTCTTTTCCCCTGACTGGAGCATTCACAAATCCAGAAAGATCTGTAAAAGTCAATAAGAATTCAGATGAACAGGTGGTCACATAAAGTTATGCAAATAATACTGTGGATTTTTCCAGAATTTTTCCAAATTTTTTAGTAAATTTGCTAACAATATTTTGTGATTTGAATTCACAGGTATCTAATATACAGGAGAAGCAAGTAAATAAAAAGGATTGCAAAATACTGCTTGTATAAATCCAACTTTCGTTTTAACAATACTTGTGAGCTGTATTTGCCGGCGTGTACACACTAGCAAACTTGACTCTAAAACAGATGGTAATTTTAAAAGGGCATTTATGTTTAAGCTCAAATTCTTTTTAGTCTGTTAGTTTTACCTGCCTTTTCTAGTGCCATCACTTCTCCATTTGTTTGATTCCATAATGAATCCATGGGATTAAATACTGCTCTGTGGAATTTGACTACGTGTGTGAACTGAAGCAGCAGCAGCACGATGCAAAAGCATTCTTCGATCCTCTGCACAAGCTGCGATGGGTTGTAGAAATGTAGCGCTTTCATATGAGCTGGGGTATGCTATGGAAGTGGTCTTTGACCCCTTCCAGAGCTTGCTGAAAATGTTCTCCTGCTGGTTCTGAGAAAGTACGTGGACATCAACCTCCGGAGCAGCCAGTCTGCCTCATGCCAATCATCAGACGTGCCAGCTGATCACAGATTTCCTGGAACAAAAGCTGCCCCAGGAGGAGAGTATTTTCTGCCTGCAGGGTACACTCAGCAGAAGTGTGGTGATGGGACTGTAGAATCCTAGCAAGCAGTTTAAACCAGGGAAGGGAGGTGCAGGTCATACAAAGAAGAGACGCCAAGAGAGTGTTCTTGCGTCTGCTGAAAAAACAAGTGTAAAAGCGCACTAAAGGTAGTTCAATAAGGATAGTAAGGACAGTCTGATAGCCACTAGGAGCACAGGAAGGGTTGTTGTTGGCAGAGATAGATATTTTAGATGTAGTTCTGGCCCAAGTAATGGTAACCTGGTGCAGGTGAAAAATAAGGTTAAATATGGGATTAAGATTCAGGGTTTGAAAAGGAAAAGGCTTAAAAGGTGCTTTTTATTGCTTGAATTTATATAGGTGAGGGAATACAAGCATAGTCAATGTCAGCAGTTCCCAATGAAGGTATTGATCATCTGGCTACGATTAATATTATACAATTCTATAGTTATAGTTTTAACTTTATTTATAGTTGGGTTTAAGACTGAGATTACTTAGGAATACTTCTGTTTTCTGCCAAATCTTACATGGCTGTACCGATGGCCTGTGGATGATCTTTGACAAGGCACTGTTTCTGCTTTCCATCTGTAAAAGAGAGGAGATGAGATGACTGTGAAGTGCATTGAGATCTAATGCAAAGCTGTACAGGAGCACGGTATTATTGCATTGTTACCTGTTTTAAGTCCAAACAGCCAGCTACTATACAGTGTTTTATAGAGCGCTTCAGTTAGAAGGAGAAATTGCTAAGGAAGAGAATATACTTGATTTACTTATCAGTGTTATAAGCTTGATTTCAACCTGCTTTCTACCTGGGAAGTTCCGTTTTAATTTCTGTCTGAGATTCTCAACGTACACCCAATGCTTTTTTGTTTCTTTCTTTTCTTTGGCTTTCCCTCTTTTTTCTCCCCCTAGCAATGAAGTGCGAAAGTACTCATGTTACTCAGTACATACGCATTTGATCTTTCATTTGAGTATGTACCCACTTAACCCAGCTTCTCAATAGCCTTACACCTGGCTTCAATCTTGGGCAGTGGTTCTTGTTATTTCAGTTATTCTCCTTCAAAATTCACCCATTTTTACAAAAAAAATTCCCACCTAATTCCACAGGGTTTCACTCTGTACACCATTGCTACTGACATTTCAGGTTCTCCAACACTGTACGCAGACAGTTTGCCTGCAGAAATAAATGTCATTTCCCTTAATGTTAGGAAGCATAACTAAAACCGAATCTCTGACACATTCAGAAGACTTCTTCCGTTCACGAGGAGTGGTCAGGGGAGACATAGCCAGTGTGTTTGGATTATCTTTCTAGATAAAACTACTGGAGGAGGGTGCAATATAATTCTCGGCATTAAGGGAAGAGGTTGGAATGAAGGGTGAGAGATTTATTTGAGGATGTACGTTGCTGCTGTTGCTAGAAATTAGTTTAAGCCAATGGTCTGCTCAGCCAAACTCTGCAGAACTATAGCTAGAATTTAGTCCAAATTGGTAAAGTCTGTGTAACGTGAACCACGGGGCTGGCTCTGAGTGAGACTCTTACGTTCTGGTTAGGAGACTTAAATCCATGGCCTGTTCCAGAGTGAGAATAAGAGTTAAGATCTTTGAGACGATCTAAAGCCCTTTCAGATTGTTCATTGTTTCACTACAGGATATGCCTTGGGTTTTTTTTTGGTTTTGTATCAGATTCATGCCAGATCTCTTTTTTTTTTTTTCAGATTTTTTTTTTTTTTTTTTTTTTTTTTTTGAGCTAGAATTGGGCCCTTGAACATTGACTATAAACAACTCATTCACTGTTTCCATTATATATTATTTGTGCTTCAACAGCCATTCTTACAATATATTTACATTTCAGCAACAATTCAGAAACGCTTGAAGAAAGAAAAAAAGGCAAAGAGAAAATTGCAGGAAGCTTTGGAATTTGAATCAAAGAGAAGAGAACAAGTGGAACAGGCGCTTAAACAGGCCACATCAGGTGACGGTCTCAGGATGTTAAATGGTAATGTCTTAGTTGGCCTTTCACAGTTAGCTTAAAATGATGTTTAATGGGGGGGGAGGGGGGGAAGTAAGATGATTCACCAAGCAAATTCCAGAATAAAAAAATCACAGTCCTTTCCTGAAATAATTAAAAATCTATTTCAGGCCATGTGCTCTGGGTCATGAATTAAAAAAATAAATAAGTCTGCAACTAGAGAAACAGACAGAGCAGTTTACACAGACATGACAAGAAATGCTGAATATATTACCAGAGAAATCTGTTACAGTGCCAGCTAAGACAATGTGAAATTTGGTTCCTATAAGGTTCTCTGAACTCTTCTCTCCCAGCAGATTCATTTTTAGAACTGCTGAGCTTCATTTTAAAAGCTGTTTGGCTGAAGTTTGCTCAGCTTCAGGACCTATTAAGTTTGTTAAATATGTATCAACTTTCAAAGCTGACTAGGTTTTGAATACTTCCCAAATATTCTTGTGAAACAAAAGCAAGTCAGTTAATCTCTTAAACAGGATGATTATGTTTTGGGTAGTGGGAAGATTTGCCTCTCCTGCTTAATGTGGGTCTGACCAAAGTTTAGAGCTTTGGTTTGAATCTTTAAGACTAAAGAACCTAGTTGAGTTTTAATTAATTTCAGGTTCTGTAGCTAAGGCTTAATCTGTGTGTCCCTACCCTGAAGTCTCTGCAGAGGCTCATGAATCCGAGTTACATTCAGTCTCTGCTGCGTTTGTATGTTGTGTAGTCTTTACGTTAACTTTGTGCTGCCTGCTTCAGGCACTGCTAGCAACTGAGCCATAATAACATAAGCAGACTGCAAAAACTGCCTGAACTGCTGAGTAAAAATAATGAGTGTAGCTTGTCTCGAGTTCTCAGTTGTGAGGGCTACCCAAACTGTTTTTTAAAGTTAGGGCAAGCCTGTCTACGTGAACTGCCATCGCAACACTCTGCAATGGACTGCGAGTTGTGATTTATCTAGAGCACCTAAGAGATATAAACTCTTTAAGTATGAGAGCAACGTCTTTCAGAGGCATTCTCATCTGCTGGGTTTTATAGTCCAGCATATCACTGTAACCAGGACCTGGCTGGCTTTTCTGATGTAGTGACAGTGAGTGGTGGTGATTCAGGCATGGATATACAGCTTGCACCGTGATGAGGGACAATGACCCAAGGGAGGGTGGGTGGACAGAGCCAGCAGAAACCTTTTCCACCGCCTCCACTGGATCAGAAAAATGCCCAGATCAGATCCCACAGACATAGCCAGCACCTTGAGACGAATGTCAGAAAAAGCCTAACATCCTGATGTTCTGTAAGGTCAGTCACCCAGATTCTGCTGTTGCTGGTAAGCACCTGCCGCTCGCAGGAGTACTCAGCAGTTCTGGAAGCCACAAATTAAAGGGTACCATCATGCCAGCAAAGTGATTAACAGATCTTTACATCTGCTATTGTGGGCCTGGCTGCTAAGGTTTTGATTTGCAGGCACACTCAGGTAGTCATATATATGTTAGTGCCTGCAAGAAGCTGATATTTACATGCTAATCTGATTGCACATGCAAATCAGGTAGCTCATTAGCATCTTAATCCACAATTTAATTGCAGGTACAATTTTATGACAACAAAACGTGAAGGGCTATTCTGAATATTTTTAATTTAACTCTGACGGTCTGTCTCATTTAACAGGTGCTGTTATTAGTTACAGACGACACTGTCATTTTACGTATATACAACATGTACTCTGAAAGGTTTGAAAAGGAAGAACCTTTTTAGATTAATAGATCAGTGCCCTGACCTTTCCTTCAAAACAGAAATCTGAATAAGCGAAACCCTATGTAATAGCAGTCACTTGTAATTTTATAAGAAAAAATTGTATACATGAAAATACTTATTTGCTCATATATATTTATAGGGCTATATATGCATACATCAGATACATTTCATTTACACATATATTACTAAGATATTATTCATATTACTTTTCTGTGTATGGACTATGCTTTAATGGGTTTCCCCGCTTTGACACAGAGTCTGGTCAGGCTGTAGGGTGGCCAGCAAAATGTCATCTTTGCGACAGGTACTGACACTCCAACTAAAGTGATCTGAGAAAGCACCAGTACAGTTATTCTCTATCTGAGAAAGTCCAGAACAGGCTTCTACGGAGAAAAACTTCAAAACTGTATACACAGCTCCCTTTCAGGTGTGGGTTTTTTCCTTGCTTTAATTTCGAAGTGCTGTATTATAAGGGAAGCAGATGTTTCTCCAGGATTCGAGGTGCCATGGATTCAAATCACATACCCTTCATGCTAATCCTTGTTGGCACAAGGTGGATAATGGCATCTGTTATCATAACACCCTGGGGTGTTTGAGCCCCCGCCCCCACCCCGAAGGACTGTGCATACAGAGGTATTATCAATATGAAATTAAATAGTTCAAAAGTGCATATCATTATGAGACTCTTTCTCAACTTGGAAAAAAGAGCACAGTCCATTTTGGAAAGCTCTTCTCAGAAATCTGGAAATGTTTCACATAATATCACATATGTAATTATATTTTGGGTGATAACAACATACTTAAAACGTGCTTACAACATCCTGACCTGAGTCCTTTAAATGCAATTTGCATTACAGTCCTTATCTGTAACACGTGCTCATACAAACTGATACACACACACACACACAAACATGTTGACTGGCATTGGCTATATTCTTTAATTCTGTACTTTGCAGGTATATGTCTAGGAGAGTCAATGTAGTTTAATGTTATCACAGTTTGATTTCTACTTTTATTTTCCATATGTCAGATGCCCTCATTCTCCAAGAGAATTTTACAGCCATATTAATATCATGTGTTGGTTATTATCTGATCGTCAGACAAATGTGAAGCATGTTAAAAATAATTCACTGTGAGACCAGTAATGTTTGCACATTTTGGAAACAATTTACTACTGAAAATTCTATGAAGACCAAATGTTTCATGCAAGACCGTGTAACTTGGAGATCACCCTAGTTTGCTATAAATATTTTTCTAAAGATGCATGAGAGAAGGACAAAGGGGAATGCATTAATCTTCGGTGTCACATCTTTCAGATGCTGGAATCCCAGATATGGAAATAGAACACAACGGAACCCAACATGACAGTGCAGCAATGCAAGGTGCAGTATGTACCGCATCCCATCGCAGACATGTTTATCATGAGCCATATTAAAAATTAAATGAAATGCAGAATAGTTTTTGTCTCTGTTTTCCTGCTTTAAGATAAATGTAAATTACACAACTTCATTTTGTTTTCCTGTTCAATATAGAAAACCTTTGAAAGATCAGTACTTTACAATACCAGAAATTAAATTTGTTTAAATAGAGGTGTGGGAAACTCATATTTAGCTATCAAAAATATGTGCGTAGTTCAAAAGTGATTTTACATATGATTTATCTTTTTTTAAATATTTTACCTCTGATGCTTACCTTCCTATCAAGATCATAGGTGTTTTCAAAAAATACATGAACTGTAGGTGGAAAAGGAAAGTCATGTTCATGTTATGAGCAATTATATAGTGCTCCATTTTCGTCCCTGTTCAGTGCCTGTTTGTAAATACGGAACATTCACGTATTGTCTGAGTGCTTCCCAAAGAATAATAAATGCATTCTGGCTATAGGCCTGTGAAGTCAGGGAGTGGTGTAGTCATCATTTAGGGGAGCTGAGGTACAGAGATCTTAATGGTTATTGCCATTACCATTGGAAGCCTATTTGAGACACGCAGAAAATCCATAGTCACCTGTGATAAAATTTGGTCTAAGCAATTTGAACGTAGAAATTCTCTGACTTCGGAGAAAGTCCAGTTTTATAGTGTTGATTTTCTATAAAATCAACCTTTTTCTTCTTTCAGTCCTGTGCCGTATTCATTACACACCGTCCAGCTCTGCGCTGGCTACTGTAGCAGCCTGGAGACCGCTGCCTGTTTCGATGTAACTGCTGCTTCTTAGGGCACCTCCACCCTTTCTACTGAATCATGTAATGGTTATGTGCAAAAAATGACGTGTGTTGAAGTAACTAAAGACAGTCCCCTTTTATGTAGACAGAAGAAGGACTGCAGTACACTTATAGATACAAACATCACACCTAGCACTTCTGAACTGCTAAAGGCTTGACTTTGCATACCTCTGGTATGCATCTGTCGTCCATCTGTCATCTATACAGGAAAGCTCAAATATTTTTACTGCTGTCTCTTTCTGTGATTTTAGGTTCATATGCTATGTATTACAAAGGAGAATCACAGCTTTATTGTAATGCATATATATACATATAACGTGTGTATATATATGTGCACATATGATCAGAGTTGTGCTCTAAATATTACCGTTTGAAAATCGTTACTGCCAGAAATAGTCAAAATATTGGATAAGCACTTGGGACACATGTATTTAAATTTGGCAAGCAAAATATTCCTAACATTTATGATCTATTTATGATACCTGCTGAGATGAGTGCTCAGTGCTCTTCCAAAAAGATTCTGACAGTCAAAGGTGCATCTGGACAGAATCTAGTAAAAAAAGGAAGTTAATTTCAATTTTCAGTTGAAGGAAAAAAGTTACAGTTGGCTCAAATCATCAAAAATTATTATAAATAACTGTGGGGAAAGTGATGCATAGCCGCTTCCAGCAACCATTTACTTACTAGTAGGAATTAAGAGAACTTTCTTACACTTCCTGTAGTCTATTGATACACAAGAAAACCTTGTGATTTTATGATCTTTAATTCAGGTTGTTTGTTCTTTTTTTTTTTAATCTGATCCCAACTACATCATTCTTTAGTTTTAACAGGCTTTGGCTCATGAAGTTTTTGTTCAGGTTAAAAGCCTGAACAAAGGGAGAACGGGATATCCTCTATGTTCAATATCTCTGAGCTTGGTGCCCCTCTGTGGAAGCAGAACATGACTTGTGCAGTAGGAGTTGTAAACCTGTCATAGACTCCTCAGTGGCAAAGCATCCCTTGTCTTCACCACAGTGATGAATGGCAGTGTACGCCCACTTCTCTGACAGTTTTCGTATGGTAATCCTGTTCATATGTAAACGTGTGATGAGTTTAGCCAGTTCTTTCACTAAGCACTCTCAGCTGATGAAAAGGTTTCTGAAAAGGTTTCTTTGTAGAACTTGTTTAGATTTCAAGGTGTTTCTGTCCTATAGCACCATCTCTTTCTTTTTTTATTTATACTGATACTGTAATATCTTTTTATTCTCTTTTCCTTTGATTACAATTTTTGTACTTGACAGCTACGATTGCACTGCCGTCTTTAACAATTTGAGCACACTCCCTCATTGCCCCCTTCATTTGCTGCCTTTGTTTTTTGGGCCCTGGGAGGAGGAAGGGTCAAAACACATGTCCCTAATACAAAGCTGTTTCCAAGCTTCCAAAATCTCTCTCTGTTGCACAGAAAAAAGCATTAGCATCAATGCAGACCTTTCTTTTTCTGTTGTCAATAGCTCTGCTGGACAGAAATCTGTCATTCGCACAGTGCCTTCCCTTTGAAATTCAATTAGTTTCACTGCCAGTATCTCCTTAAGACGGTTTAAAGGAAAATTACAAAAATACTGCGCAGCCACCTTTCACAGTGATTAAGTCATATCATATTTTATGCTCATTTCTTAAAACGGTTTTATTAACACAAGCTGTTCATATACTGGGATTCTGATCTACATTATAAATCTTTTCCATTTAGTTGACTCATTCTCTCTATGCTTTGTATATTAATTGAATGGAAATTTTGTGCAAATGAGACTTAAAACTTTTTTGAACTTTACAGTCTAATACTTCCATCCTCCGTATACCTGATCTTCTAGTCCACCGTAGCTTATCTGAGAGAAGCTTTCTAGCTGACGAAATAGAAAAGTAATAGTTGCTGTAGTCATGAAGCCCCCTGCACAGCTGAGTGGTGCAGGAGAGGGTGACGCACGCACACAGATACCCGTCTGGTCTTGCTTCCATAATTCACTTGTGGGCCAGCAAGATAGTGCATTAACCATTTTATCAACCAATCTCCGTTCCACATAAAATAAACATACTGGGTGTCATTAAGTGCACCTTCAGATCGATGATTTTTGCAAATGACATTCAAGTACCATTCGAGTAGTGCATTTTTGCTGATAAAAGCAAATTAAATTAGCACAACTACAAGTGTGCTGATAAAAACTAAAACTGAACAGCAGCACCATTAGCTAACAAAGTAATATTTTCTCTTTACTGCTTTCTGCCATTTAGTTATTATCCTATTGGAAATCTAATTATAATCCTTTTACTCCCTAGTCAAACTTCACAGTTTTTGCAAGCTTAGCACTGACAAGTGATTTCATTACATTTGATTGCCCGCGCCCAGATTGACTTAACTTCACTCCGAGACCTAAAAGCCCTCTCAGTTTCTCAGATTCCCTGTTTGCACATTACAGCAACAGCTCCTTTAATTAATTAGCATGAACAGCAGTAACATGAACTGCTGAACAGAAAATAACATCATTTTATGATCGCAGGGAGACTTCTCCTTTTGCATGTTTATACCTTAGTTAACTTTTGTATTACTATATTTCATTGTTAGGGGATATTGGAACAATCAGCAAAGCAATGTTATCTTAAAATTTTAAAAAATAGATGTTGCCATAATACTCGATGATAACAATTTTCAAAAAATAAAAGATTCTAAATTTCAAGAAGGAGGCGGCAGCACAGGCAGACAGACTTTCCTGAGGTGAAAACACGGTTCAAAGGAAACGTGGTTCACCGTACCTGCGACGGGAGGGTGACCCAGGGCTGCTGCTGCTTTCGTTTGTGAAACAACCTGGCAGAGGTTTAGCACAAGAACTCTCAGTAACCGTGATTAACTTTTTCTTTTTATCTGTTTGCCACAGATGAAGGACTGTTGAAGTTTGGAACATACTTCATTACTTAGAAAACTGGGCTATATTTCTTCAATATTCTCATATAACCAGTCAGTTTTCAAATGCAGCCTATGGTAAAAAGGGCGCAAGGGGGACAGAAAAGAGAGGGGCAGTGTTTTTAGGAGGTTTAACAACTTTGTTACTGTATCAAATTATACCTTCAAATGCTGCAATCCGCTGAAACCAGCCCCGCTGTGGAATTTCAGAGTACTCTACAACTCTAAGAGACAAATTCAACATCTTGGAAATTATAGTGCTATTGTCTTGGTCTTGCTTTCACTGAAAAAAACATTTAAGCACTTAAAATTTTACGTAAGAAAAGACCAGAACCCTGTGATTAGAAACTCTTGAGATTAAATAGAGGCCTGATATTTTCCTTGTGAGCGAGTTCTTCGCTACCTATCATCTTCTTCGTTTTTGTCGTAGGCCTTTTCTTCTTCCTCCTGTCCAAGCCATGCTCTGTCCCTAGTGCGTGTCCTGCTCTGGATGCTCTGAATTACTAAACCTCTAGTAGTTACTTTGTGCTGCGTCATATTGCAGTGTTTCTAGAAAAACTCTTTTGAAGTTTGTGTGCAATTACCAGACTGTCATATCTGTGCACACACTGGCCCCGCGCTGCTGAAAGCCGTCTCATTAGCTGCTAACCAAGAAAAGGGCCCTCTTTAGTAACCAGCCATGAGATTTCTGTGCTGACTACATGGCTTGCCTGCTGGTGATACAAATGCAGGGCTTTAAAAAATAACAGTATCGCTGATCTTAGTGTTATTTCTACTTTTGGTACGCAGTGTTTTTCTGAATCCCTCTCTCTCTCTAAGCACACGCGCACACATACATGAGGGAGGAAGCTGAGATTTTGTGATTTACTGGAAACAAAAGGTGGGGAAAAGTTTTCTCAGGAGACTGCTGGGTGTGAAGGTCCATACCTTTCTATTCTTACAAAGGGCTAAAGTATTTATTCAATAATTCAGCGTCAGTAGGCTTGAATATTTCCTAAGCAGGAACCACTATGTTATCTCCCTGTCTACTCAAACTGACAATGGCAATCCAGCATCTGCATAGTTTGTATTCAGTGAACATATTCTTGTCCTTGGCTATTGTTACTCATTAGAAATCCTATTTTCTGTACAAGTTTTCAGGTCTGTTAACACAGATGTGGAAGTATTTGACAGTCGACTCGGTAGTCCTAAGCACAAAATAAGTGGTGTGCGGCGCTGGAGGGTCGGGTGCCGCGGTCCTGCCTGCTGCGGGGAGGAGGACCCGCAGGGAGGAGAGGGCTGGTACTGCTCCCCCGAGGGAGGCTCGTCAGCTCGACAGCATTGGGCATCACAGACTGCACATCTGCAGGGGTGGAAAAGAGGCGATATGAAAGAGCGAGAGATGAAAAGAAAGCAAACCAAACTTCTTTAGTACTGCTGCTCTCAGAAGCAGCATTTATTGTCCACATTCTTCCGTGAGTCTGGAGGAAAGCATGCCCTGCTCACGGTGTGTTATTTTTTCTCTTTCACTGCTCAGTTTGGAAAATACTTACAGATAAATGGAAAGGAGAAGTTTTGCTGGACAACTAATAAACAGGGAAAGAAGTCAGTTTTACTCACCGCTGTCAATCGGCTGAATGACTAGCCCAAAACCATGGGAACTGGCTGCAGGCCAGGTCTTTTTTTTTTTTTTCACGGCAGCAAAGGGATCCTTTTCTGTGTCTTCCATAATTGCCGTGGTCCTTACCCCACTAGCAGGGGCCTGGATGCAGCCTCCTTCCAGGCCAGTCAGCACTGCTAAGAAGTTGAGGGGAAGAGGTTCTTTCCAGGGATTTCATCCACAGTAGAAGCTGATGCAAACTGTTCTCTGATTTTTCTTTTTTTTTCTGCAAAATAAGAGAGTGATTCAAACTAATTAGCCCCAGCTTTGTAAGTTAGATTTATTGTTACAGCATTGTATTTTCCATGAGTCGCGGCATCCAGAGCTTGTCTTGACTCTGATCTAACTGAACTGCGGACTCTGTTTACGTAGCCTGGGAAGGGTGGAGAGATCAGCCCCTCTCCAGTATAGTTACGGTGTCATGTAAGACTCCGATTCAGCCCCTCACGTAGGAGTGATGCAAAGCCCCTGGGAGCGCGCAGGTCTGGCACGTGGCTGCCCTCTTCCCTCCTGCTGCTCTTCTGTCCGCAGAAACGCAGCCACGTCTCGGCTCTACCGAACCTTTATTTTAGCAGCTCTCCCAACTCCTCCTTCATCTAAATTGGCAAAGTGGGATTTTCATCTCTGCTACCCATGCTCTCCGCAGTATGTAGGGCTGGGTTTTATTTTTTAAATTGCATGAATAATTTACAGTTACTGATATCAACAAATTTATCCTTGTTTTGTCATTATGTAGCAGATCCCAAATTTCCTTCCTCCAATGACTTTCTCCTCCAATTTACAGTGTGCTAGAGCTCCCTGAACGATCCCAAGCTGTAGCTGTGTCGGTTAATCGCAGCTAGCTGGCTGCGTCGCGTCGCTCCCCTTCCTGGGCTGGATTTGCACACCAGCATTCCTGGGGCGCATTTCTTTATGCAAGTTGTGAGGGTACGCATGGAAATTTTGTTTGAAAGTACTTTTATGGAAATACAGCTGAATTACTAACGTAAAAGAAAGATATTGCAAACAGCCTCGCAAAGGATTCAGAAAAGTCAGAGATGCTGAATAGGCTGAAAAAAAGAAAAGAAAAAAAAAAGAAAAATGTGAATAAATATGCGGATGATAATTATTGCTTTTGGATTTGTCCTTTATACGCACCTTAAAAGCTTGAAAGAAAAAGAGGAACGATGATATTGTTGCTAAAAGAGAGTGCAAGAGATGAATGTTTACCCTGGACTAACAGCTCAGGGAAGACAACACCATCCTGAGGGAAAATTACAATTATTAACATAGGCTCTGGCTCACTGAGAAATTGCGAGATCTTTAGCTGTCTTATACATTGTGAAGGGGAAAAAAAAATCCTTTCTAAATGTCTTGCTTATTAAGCCAGTCATGCATTTCACTGTAGGTTGTAAAGCAGTGTAACATGCACAGGGGGCTCATAAGCATATTTTAGTGTTAGGGAATATCATTTATACAGTTTTTATATTGTCAATATTACCCCTAGAGAATGAGATTAGGCTTTAAACTACTGTAAATCTACGCTTTTGCTCACCTTTGTATAATTTCATTTCTTAATAGAATGAAGGCCACATAAATGAATATTTGATTAAGGGATAAACCTAATAAAAGAATACATTTATTGCACACAGATTTATTCAAATCTTTGCTATATAATACAGTAAAATGCTATAAAATGGTATGTAGCTTGCAGTCGGCTACGCTGAGGAGATGGTGAATATTCTTCAAAAAGATGAATTTGACAACATCACATTGTCTTTCATGTATGTGGTAGCACAGATGCTCCTAACACTTTCAATTCCTCATAGGCGGTTGCTGTATGTTGTTAATGCCATGGAGTTAAGTTTATTGAACAGCTACAAAAAAGTATTTTAATTTTTGGAGCATAATTGAGAGCTTTATAAAAAAAGGAAATATTTAACTATGCACTTTCTGTTTATTGAGCAATAATACCTCCTGGGTGGCTGCACTGTGCTTGAGCTTTTGAGCTTTGGCATTTACTTTCTCTCTTACAGGTATTCCAGACATCTCCATTGAACTTCCCTTGAGAAATAAAGGGAATAGGAAGGAAAAATTGAAACCTGTTTCAAAGTTGAGATAGTCAGTCCATCAGCCTGCAGTACACTCAATGACCACCTCTTTCTTACCTTAGTCTGAAAAATCATTTTTAAATACAACAAGAATATCAAGAATTTAAAAAAAAAAAAAAAAAGACTGATCCTTACCCATTTTTGATAAATCAATTCTTCCCTTGAATGCACGTCTGGGTTCCTCCCTCCTCTTTGCAGACAGAGTCCTTGTTGCCAAATGCAGCACCGTAAACGTGCGCGCATACGTGGTCTCCGTCTTACTGTCCTCGCCTGTACAAATACCGAGCATCAAATGTATCAAAAGGCGCAGCTGACGCCCAGCGGCCATGTAAATAGTGAGTTATGTATCTAATTTCTGCTGCCTTCCATTGGCATTATATGGACTAATTCACCAAGTACGTCTGTAAATCCCACCCCGTAGAGGTGGTTGGCAAGAAGATACCTTTGCAAATCTGGCTCCTGAGCCTCGGCCCTCAAAGAGCATCGAGATGCGGGCGGTAGCTGCCCAGGACACGTGATGCTTCTGTGCAGAACGCAGACCCGGTGTGTTGCTGGCTCTCGAGAAGCACTGTGGCAGAGTTTCAGCCTTTTGGACTGCCTGTAGAGGCGGTTCCTGTGATTTTTTTGAGGGCGGCCACACTGACCTGCTGATTCTGTCAGTGGCTACCTTTTTTAGAAGTACAACTTTAATATAGGCTAGATCACCTACAGCCTGCTATAGGAAGAAGTCATGTGCAACTTCCTAATAATCAGAAGGAGAGAAAGAAAAAACAAACCAACCAACCCCCACAGTGTTCAATATTTGCATTTCTGCTTACCCCCTCCCCAGGCTTTAATATTTGCCCCCCCCAAGTTTAAGACAATAATTTTAATCAGCCAAAGGCCTGAAACTAATTTTACTCACTTCTTTGGAGGTTCCCATGCTCCCAAACGTTCTCCGAAGATGTTACGTCCCTGGCTCTTCCG